GGAATTCTATAGCATTTGTTTCGACATTTATATCACTGCCCCCTCACCACCACTGTCGCCCCCATCGTTTCCGTTGCCAAAATCTTTGCCACCCGCAACCCCACCCCATCTACCCGCCACCGCGTCGCTACTTTTATCGTCACAAGTGTCCCCCACCTCCAACATTGACATCACAACGCCACACTACCATCGTTGTCTCAACCGCCACCCCCTAAGTGGAGATTCCAATTCTTTTATGAGATTCCATTTTATTTTTTGCTAACCAAATACGTGATCAAAATCCATTTCAGTTCTTTTTAAGTCAAATTTATTTGATGGGTTTCAATTCCACGAAATTCAATTCTATGAACCAAACATTCTCTTAACAGAAACTAATGGAAAGTTCGTATAAATTGTTAATACACTAGAAGTATACTCGTGCAAATGCAATGCTATACATGTAGATTTTAATGTATGTCTTATTCTTTGTCTTTGTCGATTTTATAATACAGTTTGTGTGGTATTGAGAACACAAAAATGAATTCGGTTGTTTATCAAATTTATGGAGTATTTTTATATCGAAAGTTCTTGTTTTTTTGTATAATTTATTTACCTTGATTTTTATTTATTATAATTTAAATTATTTTTAGATTTAATGATGAAGATGTAATTTATTTCAGTTTTTTTTATTAATGTAGTGTTATTTATAAAGATAATGATGAACTATTATCAGTTCAATGATTATCTTAAATTATATTTTAGATATTTTATATTTAGAATGTTTATCCTCTATTCGATTATGCTTATCAGTTAATTATATTAATTCAAACATATAACTTTAAAGAGTTGTAATCGTGCACCATTTATTTGTAATATTGAACTTTAAGTAATACTTATCAATAAACAATACTTAATGCATAAAATACTTTTAAGACTTTACCTCAAATTTTTATAATGTAACTAGAAGAATACCCGCAAAATGCAGCGATATGCATCTCGACTTTAATGTTTCATTTTATTATTTGTCTCTATCGATATAATACAGTTTTATTTGGTTTTGAGAACTCGACAATGTTTTTATTTTTGAATGAAATATAAATTTGAAGATTTCATAAAAATTTGAAAAACAAAATGTATATATATATTAGTGTCAGATTAACTATTTAAAAATTCTTTTCTTTTGTGTAATTTCTTTAAATATAGGTTTAATAACAAAATAATTTATTTTTGGTTTAATAATATAACTTTTTACAAAGATAATAATTAAGTATATGTTTATCTGCAGTTAGTTACTCGAATTCAAACATTAAACTTTAATAAGTTGTATTTATACATTATTTACTTGTAATTTTGAAGTT